CAACTTCTGCAGGTGTCACAGATAGGGAGCCTGAGCCCCTGCATCTTCTGCACCTGTCGCAGTTCGGGAGCCTGGAAGCTGCCACTGCCCAGCCCGGATGGAGCAAGTGTAGTTGGTAGGGGGGGGGGGTGGCTAGTAGTAGTAGTAGTAGTAGTAGTAGTAGTAGTAGTAGTAGACAAAGTATTAGCAATACTATGACCGATAAACCCCCGGGCCCTAAACCCGAAACCCTAAACCGGAGTTTCTTCAACGTGTTCCGAGGGAGAAGTGAGGGAGGCTATTTTCTAAGTGTTGGGCCCTAAGGGCTGCGACTGGACCTCAGCAGAGAGAAAGTCCCAAAGCACTTTTAAACAAAAACCTAAACCCTAAACCCTAAACCCTAATAAAAACGAAACCCTAAACCGTCTCAGGATACCCTTGGCGGCTTCCGACTTGGCAGCTTCTGAGCCGTGCTTGGTCGGCTGGGCAGGTCCCTGGTGTTTGGCCCTACGAGAGCATCTTGGGCCCTTGGAAACCTAAAACCCGTAGGACCCTGAACCCTGAACCCTAAGACTCTCAGGTTGCAGGGCTTATTTTTATTTTTTGGTTGGGGCTTGGCGGTGTAGGGTTGGGTTTCAGTGCGCCATAAATCCGAAACCCTCAACTCTAGGATACGACTTCTGTTGCAGCCGGGCACAGGGCTGGTCGATGTAGGGTCTAGGGTGTAGGGCTTCAGTCAGAGAAGTGCCAGCAAAGCCCCAATCTTATCATTCCCAGTCTCGCGATTGTAGGCTTAAGGGCTACGGCGAAGGGTTACTCACTGTAGCAGGAGCAGGTTTTTGGAAATAGTTGTGAAGGCGGGTTGCAAAGTCAGGCATTTTGAATAATGTAATGGTCGGAGCAAGTACCAATGAAGCTCTCCTAGCCCCAACACCGGTTCTGATCATTGCGATCCCTGGGTCAATGCGACATCTGTAGCGGCCAGATCCAGTCGTCAAATTCTTTTCCGAAGACAGCGCGCTAGGATTTTTCGAGGCTGGCATCTGCACGGCCCTCCATTTGTTGAGCGGGTTGTCGAACTGCAGAACAGCTTTGTGGCATGCGAAGCATCTTCAACCAACTGTCCCGACTTGCAGCGTCTGCCACCAACAACAGCAGCGCCCACAAACAACGCGACCACGGCAACGACAAGGACCACGACAACGACAAGGACAACAACTACGACAACGACAGCTAGAACAGCAGCAGCAAAAACACAACAGCAATAGCCAATAGCAGTAGCAGCCACAATTACCACCAGAATTCCCCACCTGCACCAGCAGCAGCAAGACAGTCAAGAAGCCAACTAAGCACTTCAGGCATCCAAGAAGTGACTGACAGGCACATTCGTCACTGCAGGTAGGCTGTCACGACAAATGGGAGGAGGATATGCAGTAGAATCGAAGGAGTAGAAGTGGCAGAGGCAGCAGTGGTGGCTGTAGCACGAGCAGTGGAAATGAGAGTAGCAGAACCGGCAGTGGGACTCCCAGCAGCATTCGCAGGGCCTTGCACTTGTCGTTTGTCTGTGGTGGTTGGACAATGTAGAGCCAAACCTGCCCACGGGCTGACACCGTCCGTGTCTGTGTCTGCGACTCAAACGAGTCTTTCAGAACAACCTGCTCGCCTCAGTTTTCCACTGCGGGCAGGCTATCTCTTCCATAGGCGTGTGGATGCACAGAACTTTTTTGAAGTTCTCCCCGGAACCCCAAGCTCCTTCAAACAACCCTTGATGTCAAACCCTGCTTGCAGGTTCAAGTGTTTGGGCGATTCAAAGCAGGCAAGCAAGCAGTGCGGCCCGAAACACAGCCATGCACAGAGCCGCAAAGCGCCATGTTGATCTGGGTCACCCTACTCCACGACATGGGACCAGAACGGACCAGCACAGCCCCTGAATCAGCTCCTCATGTCGTATTCCAGAAGTTTCGGCCCTCGCAGTTGCAGCGTCAGCTCCTTCACCGTGATTGTATCATATTGCTTTGGTCCTTTGGCTAGGGCATTAGCATTGAGGGTTTGTTGTTACGGCCGGTCTTCCTCAGGTCAAACACGTGACATGGATTTCTAGAGACTGCGTCATTAAGGACGTTCTCATGAGACGATGATTGGCACTGCTAGAGCTGTTTGCACTTGCTATGTGAGCTAGAGGAAATGAGTAGCAGCCTTCGTGTTGTTCGTGCTGGTAGCAGCGGTAGCATCAATGTTCTTGTCACTGCTGCTACTGTACCATATGCTGATGAGAACGGTCGCAACACATCTCGCACGTCGAGGTAAACGTCCTTGATTGTTGGCCTAAGCTTCCACTCATCCCAAAATGCTGTAGGGCCCTTGATTCGTAGGGGGGGATTCATGCAGCCCTGACCCCTGAAATTGTAGCGCCCGAAATCCAAGCGTGGCGCAGTGCAAGAGTTTTCCCCGCTGAGAGCGTGCCTGGCTTCATTAAACCAGATGTCTGCTCGTGCCGTGGAGGCATCAAAGTGTGGTGCAGTTGCGATGTTGATTGCTGCTGTCACTGTCATCGTTACAAGTTGTTATAGCTTGATTATAGCGCGACGGCTGTTGCATGTTTGTACTTTTGAAGGATTGTGAGTGCCATGAGTGGTAACTTGCAACTAGGCTCAAGATACCATACATGAGCATGTAAAGCCAGGAGCTCACGAACTTCACGAACATCATGCCATACTCCAGGAGGTGACAATGCATCGTCGCGCCTTCACACCCCAAGCCAAGCCAACACCCTGCATGTCTTCTTTAGGTTTCTGCATTGTCGCCGCTAGTACAGCTGAAGTCCTTTAGCGCTTGACTTGGTTTCTCGCAATGTTGCGTTTTCTTGTCGTTCGCATAACCCAGACAACTTTGAACGCGATCTTCTTTGATTTCTCAAAGGGTATGCTCAAAGAAGCCGCAGGCCTCAAACAAAGCCGGATAGCCTTGGACCTCACCCCCTAAACCCAGTGCCCTAGACCCCAAACCCTACAGTATACCTTGAAATTTAAATCCCTAAGCCCCTAACCCTTCGCCCTAAACCCTAAACCCCAAAGCCTAAATTCTAAACCCCAAACCCTGAACCCCAAAGCCTTAACCGCGGGAAGGGGCCAGTCGGCACGGAGGAGGTCGAAGAGCAGATCGCCACGCTGATAAGGCGGCTACAGTTAGTGTTTAGGGGTTCAGAGTTAGGGTTTGGGGTTCAGGATTTAGGTTGGGTGCTTAGGGTTATAGGGTTTAGGGTTTAGGGTTTAGGGTTAAGGGTTTCAGTTAAGGGGACCCCCCACCAATCAATAAGGATACTAGCGAGGTTCTTGAAGGTTCTGAAGGGGTTTCTAGAACCTTCCGTACGGGATCCATGGCGAGTAGGGTCCCTGATTATATATACATATATATATATATATATAATGTATATATTTGCAATTAGATATGTATATGTCGTGTATAGTAGGGAGGGCTCCGTCTCTACGTTTAGGGTCTCTTCGGGTTGGGGCTGTTCGGGGCTGGGTCTCAGGTTTTCCGTTGCTTCATGGCTTTCGGAGGCCCTAAATCCTAAACCCTCCTCCAGGGTTTAGGGCTTAGGGGTTTAGGGCTTCCGGGTTTAAAGTTACGGGGGGAGGGCCGGACGTTTGAGGGCTTTAGGGTTCACGGTGCCATCGAATGTCAAGCTCTCGGCCGCCTCCGTTGCCTTTTCGGCTCCTTTAAACTGCTCTAAGTCTGAGGCCCTACACGCTAGGCTTCCCAAACCCTAAACCGGAAGCCCTGAAGCCCGAACCCTACACTGTCCTCTGTAGCGGCACGTCCATTCGCCGAATCTTCAAACGCATTACACCAAGTTCGCAGGAAATCTGACGATCAGCTTAGAGGCTCAGCCCCTAATCCCCACTTTGAGATACAAGAAAAAGCTGCTGTGTAAGTCGGGTTTGGGTTTGCTTAGCAATCTTTGTGGCTTTAGGAATCTAGGATGTAGGGATCACGCCGTAAACCCTCGATCCCTGAAACCTGAGGCTCAGGCCCCAATCCTCGAGTCCCCAGAGTTGGAGGCAGAACGCCGAAGACCCGGCGCGTGTGCGAAAGGCGCCGGATGTAGGGTAAGGGGATGGGGAGTTTGCAGATGCCTGAGAGCGTTGGGTTTAGGGCTTATAGGAAGTAGGACTTGGTGTCTATAGGGTGTTTGGGCACCTCTTGGATTGGGGGTTTCTCACAGTGCGGCACACATGCACGGCACGCTCGGAAAAGCATTTCCCGGCATGCGGCTTGTCTGTGGAGGCCGCGCAAGTTTAATCCTCGCGTTGCAGATCGGCGGGACGAGCAGCATGAAGCTTTAGCGTCTCTCGTTTCATCATCAAGAGCATCGTCAATGCCGTGGTGATCGTCGTTCGTAGTACATCACTGATGAGTTTGTTGTACCGGTATACAAGTTGCCGCCCGTGATCCCGAAGCCTGATAATGAGATTTTGCATCTAAGTCTGCAGCTCTTGGAGGGCCTCACATCACTTCGGCGCAAGGCCTTCTTCGCGCATCCACAGGACCCAGGGTCTCACAGCACTCGTGGTTTGGAGGCTTCCGCAGGTAGTTCGAGGTCTCGGGCATGTTGGGGGCCTTGTGACTCTGCCCCGCCCCTACAGTAGAAGGCCCCCCTTTTGACATAAGAACCTGGTCAGTGGGGACTGCGACTGGTAGGAGGGCATGGGGGGTTCCTGCGTGCGCAACTGACCGAAGGGTGGGTTTTTTTGGTTCAGATTTTAAGGTAGGGGTAGCGTTTGAATAATTTTTGCGTCAACTGGTATTTCACGTGACGCGCTGCCCCTAGGGCCAGGCTGGGGGAGGAGATAGGGAGAGTTCGTCCTTCCGGAGTCTCCGACCCTTTCTTGGAAGCGATTCTTGTTCTCTCGTTTCGTCTGCACCCTGGGCTTACAGCGTTTATCAGTTTTCCGGCCGCCTGCTCTGACTGTTTTCCAACCCTAAAGGCAGGATGGATGCCGCCGACCAGGATTCCCTCAGGGAGGAGCTTGAAGAGGAGTTGATCCGTGGAGTGCCCCTTCACACGTGCCTCAGTGGCTGGGCCAAACACTGGGCCAAGAACAGTGGCATGTTTGCGGCTGCTGAAAATCTGTGGAATCTAAGCCAGCAGACCGCAAGATTCGACCACTTCCTCAGTCACGACTGGTCCACCGCACGATGGGAGAAACTTTTGGCGATGCTTGTGGCGTTCAACTCTCCAGCTGCAGCCATTGCAACACTGCTTGTCAGCACAATGACGATTTTGATTGTCACACTACTGCGTCTCCCACCTGCCCTTATGCAGGCGTTGCCTTCGTACTCTGTGTTCTGGTTTGTATTTTGCTTTTGGCAAAGGATACGTGGGATGTTTAGACGGCCTTTGACCGTGTTCTTCGACAAGCTTTGCATTGCCCAGCACGACGAGAAGCTTAAGATCAAGACCGTGTACGGCCTTGCTAGCTTTCTGAATCATTCGGACAGCCTCTTCATTCTTTGGTCGCCGCGGCGAGTTCAAAGCATGTCGGGCAGTTT